GAATTCCTATGACTCTCATGAATAAATAAATAAATAAAACATTAAAAAAAAGAATTCCTCATATCAGTGAGGTCATATGATACATGTGTTTCTCTGATTGACTTATTTCACTCAGCATAACACCCTCCAGTTCCAACCACATCATTGCAAATGGCAAGATTTCATTCCTTTTGATCGCTGCATAATATTCCATTGTATGTATATACCACATCTTCTTTATCCGTTCATCTGTCAATGGACATCTTGGCTCTTTCCACAGTTTGGCTATTGTGGACACTGCTGCTATAAACATCGGGGTGCATGTACCCCTTTGGATTCCTACATTTGTATCTTTGGGGTAAATACCCAGTAGTGCAATTGGTGGGTCGTATGGTAGCTCTATTTTCAACGTTTTGAGGAACCTCCATACTGTTTTCCAGAGTGGCTGCACCAGCTTGCATTCCAACAGTGTAGGAGGGTTCCCCTTTCTCCGCATCCCTGCCAACATCTGTTGTTTTCTGACTTGTTAATTTTAGCCATTCTGACTGGTGTGAGGTGATTATCTCATTGAGGTTTTGATTTGGATTTCCCTGATGCTGAGCGATGTTGAGCACTTTTTCATGTGTCTGTTGGACATTTGGATGTCTTCTTTGGAAAAATGTCTGTTCATGTCTTCCGCCCATTTCTTGATTGGATCATTTGTTCTTTGGGTGTTGAGTTTAAGAAGTTCTTTATAGATTTTGGATATTAGCCCTTTATCTGATATGTCATTTGCAAATATCTTCTCCCATTCTGTTGGTTGTCTTTTGGTTTTGTTGACTGTTTCTTTTGCTGTGCAAAAGCTTTTTATCTTGATGAAGTCCCAATAGTTCATTTTTGCCCTTGCTTCCCTTGCCTTTGGCGGTGTTTCTAGGAAGAAGGTGCTGTGGCTGAGGTCGAAGAGGTTGCTGCCTGTGTTCTCTTTTAGGATTTTGATGGACTCCTGTCTCACATTGAGGTCTTTCACCCATTTTGAGTTTATTTTTGTGTTTGGTGTAAGGAAATGGTCTAGTTTCATTCTTCTGCATGTGGCTGTCCAATTTTCCCAACACCATTTGTTGAAGAGACTGTCTTTTTTCCATTGGACCTTCTTTCCTGCTTTGTCGAAGATTAGTTGACCATAGAGTTGAGGGCCATTTCTGGGCTCTCTATTCTGTTCCATTGATCTGTGTGTCTGTTTTTGTGCCAGTACCATACTGTCTTGATGATGACAGCTTTGTAATAGAGCTTGAAGTCCGGAATTGTGATGCCGCCAGCTTTGCTTTTCTTTTTCAACATTCCTCTGGCCTTTCGGGGTCTTTTCTGGTTCCATACAAATTTTAGGATTATTTGTTCCATTTCTTTGAAAAAAGTGGATGGTATTTTGATAGGGATTGTATTGAATGTGTAGATTGCTCTAGGTAGCATTGACATCTTCACAATGTTTGTTCTTCCAATCCATGAGCATGGAAAGTTTTTCCATTTCTTTGTGTCTTCCTCAATTTCTTTCATGAGTATTTTATAGGTTTCTGAGTACAGATTCTTTGCCTCTTTGGTTAGATTTATTCTTAGGTATCTTTTGATTTTGGGTGCAATTGTAAATGGGATTGACTCCTTAATTTCTCTTCCTTCTGTCTTGTTGTTGGTGTATAGGAATGCAAGTGATGTCTGTGCATTGATTTTTTATCCTGTCACTTTACTGAATTCCTGTATGAGTTCTAGCAGTTTTGGGGTGGAGTCTTTTGGGTTTTCCACATAAAGTATCATATCATCTACAAAGAGTGAGAGTTTGACTTCTTCTTTGCTGATTCAGATGCCTTTTATTTCTTCTCGTTGTCTGATTCCTGTGGCTAGGACTTCTAATACTGTGTTGAATAGCAGTGGTGATAGTGGACACCCCTGCCGTGTTCCTGACCTTAGGGAGAAAGCTCTCAGCTTTTCCCCATCGAGAATGATATTTGCTGTGGGTTTTTCATAGATGGCTTTTATGATATTGAGGTAGGTACCCTCTATCCCTATACTCTGAAGAGTTTTGATCAAGAAAGGATGTTGTACTTTGTCAAATGCTTTTTCTGCATCTATTGAGAGGATCATGTGGTTCTTGTTCTTTCTTTTATTAATGTATTGTATCACACTGATTGACTTGCAGATGTTGAACGAAACTTGCAGCCCAGGGATAAATCCCACTTGGTCGTGGTGAATAATCCTCTTAATGTACTGTTGTATCCTATTGGCTAGTATTTTGATGAGAGTTTTTGCATCCATGTTCATCAGGGATATTGGTCTGTAATTCTCCTTTTTGACAGGGTCTTTGTCTGGTTTCGGAATCAAGGTAATGGTGGCCTCATAAGATGAGTTTGGAAGTTTTCCTTCCATTTCTATTTTTTGGAACAGTTTCAGAAGAATGGGTATTAATTCTTCTTTAAATGTTTGGTAGAATTCCCCTGGGAAGCCATCTGGCCCTGGGCTTTTGTTTGTTGGAAGATTTTTGATGACTGCTTCAATTTCCTTAGTGGTTATAGATCTGTTCAGGTTTTCTATTTCTTCCTGGTTCAGTTTTGGTAGTTGATCCATCTCTAGGAATGCCTCCATTTCTTCCAGGTTATCTAATTTGCTGGCATATAGTTGCTCATAATATATTCTTATAATTGTATTTCTTTGGTGTTGGTTGTGATCTCTCCTCTTTCATTCATGATTTTGTTGATTTGGGTCATTTCTCTTTTCTTTTTCATAAGTCTGGCCAGGTGTTTATCAATCTTGTTAATTCTTTCAAAGAATCAGCTCCTAGTTTCGTTGATCTGTTCTACTGTTCTTTTGGTTTCTATTTCATTGATTTCTGCTCTGATCTTTATTATTTCTCTTCTCCTGCTGGGTTTAGGCTTTATTTGCTGTTCTTTCTCCAGCTCCTTTAGGTGTAGGGTTAAGTTGTGTATTTGAGACCGTTCTTGTTTCTTGACAAAGGCTTGTATTGCTATATAGTTTCCTCTTAGGGCTGCCTTCACTGTATCCGAGAGATTTTGAACAGTTATGTTTTCATTTTCATTTGTTTCCATGAATTTTTTTTTTATTCATTCGAGACACAGAGACACACATGGAGAGAGAATATGAGCAGGAGGAGAAGCAGAGGGAAGGGGAGAAGCAGGCCCCCCGCTGAGCAGGGAGCCCTATGCGGGGCTCGATCCCAGGACCCCGGGATCATGACCTGAGCCGAAGGCAGACACTTAACCATCTGAGCCACCCAGGTGCCCCATGTTTCCATGAATTTTTTTAAATTCTTCTTTAATTTCCTGGTTGACCCATTCATTCTTTAGTAGGATGCTCTTTAGCCTCCATGTATTTGAATTCTTTCCGACTTTCCTCTTGTGATTGAGTTCTAGTTTCAAGGCAGTGTGGTCTGAAAATATGCAGGGAATAGGAATTTCATTTTAATGAAAGGTCAAAGTCACATGTGAGGGGCGCCTGGGTGGCTCAGTCGTTAAGCATCTGCCTTCAGCTCAGGTCATGATTCCAGGGTCCTGGGATTGAGCCCCACATCAGGCTCCCTGCTCGGCGGGAAGCCTACTTCTCCCTCTCCCACTCCCCCTGCTTGTGTTCCCTCTCTCGCTTTATCTCTCTCTGTCAAACAAATAAATAAAATCTTTAAAAAAACAAGTCACATGTGATTTCATTCAGCCAAGAAGGGCTATGGGTTTGCAGATGCTCTAAGGAAGGGGTGTGAAGAAGGGGACGTAAAGGTGGGTATATTTGGTATGGAAGGCAGTTACTATTATCCCCAGGTACTATCTGCAATTACTAAGTTAAGTTGAGTCTACCTCCAGAATGCTTCCTGAATCTGTTCTGTCATTGCTCTAACTCAAGCAAGCCTTCATCCCTAGTCTGAAATACTACAAGAGCTTCCTAACAGTTTTTGCTGTCCTTACTCCTTCCTGAAATCTCTCCTTCATTGCTACAAGACAACGATGGGAGGATTAAATAAAGACTTCATGAACTTTAAAGCATTCCACAAATGTAAAGTAGTGGTGGGGCAAAAAATAGATCTAAATAAAGTAGTACTGGGGGAAAAAATAGATCAAATCAGAGGACTCCTCTCCTTAAAAAACTTTCAGTGATTTCCTCATTACCTAAAGAATAAAGACTAAAGCTCCATACATGTTCTTCAGCTTCTTCATAACTTGGAACTAAATGTTAACTTTCCAGTATCAGCGCCTCCGGGACACTTTTCCTCCCTCATCAGACAATACTATGGCTTGACCACGTCCTTAATTTCCATGCCCATACTGTTCTATATGCTCATGTCTTCCATCTCCTCTTCCTTGCCCATGAAACCCCATTCACCCTTTAAAACCAGAATCACAGATCAAAGTTTCCAGTAAACCATGATAAGGTTTACCTTCTCAAAATCAATGTCTCCTTCCCCTGGAGTCTTGCAAATCTCCAGTAAATTACCAAGGTTTGACTAATATTTCAGGCATTTTTCTCCCCTTCACTAGCTCTGTTTTCCAATTCCATCTGTCTACTCAAGCATCCTCAGCTCTACCACCTCCAGGGGCCTAGAAAACGCAAGCTGCAGGAATTTCAGAGTCAGGAAGCTGAGAGCAAACACAGGCTTAAGATACTTCAAAAGCAAATCAAGAATAGCTCTCTAGGGGGCGCCTGGGTGGCTCAGTTGTTAGGCTTCTGCTTTCGGCTGAGGTCATGATCCCGGGGTCCTGGGATTCAGCCCAACATCGAGCTCCCTGCTCCGCGGGAAGCCTGCTTCTCCCTTTCCCACTCCCCCTTCTTGTGTTCCCTCTCTCGGTGTGTCTCGCTGTGTCTCTCTCTGTCAAGTAAATTAAGAATCTTAATAAAAAAAAAAAAGCTCTCTAGAACCAAGCTTTTCTCCAGAGGGACTGAGGCGCAGGCGCTGGGCGGTGCATACTGGGAGATGGAGTCTTTGGCCGACCCCACTACCTCTTGGGAGTTGTAGTCCTTGGTCTGGTAAAAGAGAAGGAGGAGGAAACTCCCAAAGTGTGAATTAGTTCTAAGGGGTAAACGGAAAAGGGAACTCCTTAAACATCATGCAAGATCAAGATCCTTGGGCCCATCTCCGGCTCCCCAGCAGCGGGCCGGCGGGCTAGACGGCGGAGCCGGGGAGGGTGGGGAGACGTTACGTTGACGCTGGCGTGACCCTTCCGGAGAATTTGGCGGGATCTCCGAAAGTTGCCGGGCGGGGAGAGCTCTGCCGCTTGAGACTCTGGTCTGAGGAGAGCTGACGCGCCCTGAGGGGCGTAGTTGGGAGCTAAAACTCGCAGGCGTTGTGTGCAGAAAGCCGGAGCAAGGGAGTAGAGAAGTTGGCAGCAAAGGAGGGCGTCTGAAGCCCGTCCGGGGTCGGGCGCGGACCAGACCAGCGGACAGAAGTCGGGGCGCGCAGCCCGCCCGAGTGAGAAGCGCTGTGGACCGAGGTGAGTGTGTGAGGCGTACACCTGGCCTCTTTCTGCGTCCCGGTGCGTCCCCGCATTAACCGGACCGGGCCCGAGGCCCGGCAGCCGGCTTATAGGCCCCTCTGCGCCAAGTGAGAAACCGGAGTTGGCCGGGCGGAGCAGGGGCATGCCTGGGCCCAGGCCACCGTCGGAGCTGGTTATGGCGAAAATTGATGCGGTCCCCAGGCTTCAGAGCTGGGAGGAACCTTAGAAGCCTTCATTTCCAACAACCATTTTATGAGCGGAGGCGAGAAAGCCGAGATCTAGAGAAGTGTAAAGATTTAATGTCACAGCTGTTTGTGTCAGGGCCAGGGTTTCCGGATTTCTGGTCAGTCCTCTTTCCATTACTCCGTGCTTTGCTTACGAAGTACCCGCCTCCAGTTTCCTAAAAGATGTTTTCATTACCAAATGCGGAAGGCCGTGAACGTGATACCTGGGGAATCATCTGTAGTGAGGTGTTTTGGTTTGTTTTTTTTTAACTTCTAAAGTGAAGTGTAATACGCATATAGAAGAATGCACAAATCAAAAGTGTATACAGCTCTGAGTTATTTCAAAGAGAATATATCTGTGTAATCACTGCTCAGGTCAATAAATAGAATGTTGTCAGCACCCCCAAAACTTCCCTTGTCCCCCCTGTAGTAGGTCCCTTTTTCTCCCCAAAGGTAACCACTGTTTTGACTTCTAACACCAGTGACTAAATTTGCCTGTGTTTGAATTTTATGTAAGTGATACTATTTATATTTTTGTGTCTGGTTTCGCCCAACATTCTGTCTGTAGATTCATACATATCTTTGTATATAGTAATAGGTTTTTTTTTTTTTTTTTTTTTTGCTCTATCGAATTCCTTATTCTTTCTGCCTATGGTGGACATTTGGGTTGTTTCTAGTTTCTGACTTTTTAAAGGAGAAGGGCTGCTGAGAACATGCCTATGTATGTTTTGGTGCACATGGGTATGCTTTTCAGTTGGTTAGTAATACAGTGTTGAAATTCCTGGGTCATAGCATTTGTCTATATTCAACTTCCACATTTAATGCCAGTTTTCTAAAGTACCAATTTACATTCAAACCAGCAGTGTATGAGTGTTTAGTTGTTTCACATGTTTGCCAACACTTGATATAGTCAGTCTTTTTAATTTTATCTATTTTGGTGGCATATAGTAATACCTCATGGTTTTAATATTCCTGATAATTAGGTTGAGCATTGGTTCATATGTTTTCTTTTTTAAAGATTTTATTTATTTATTTGAGAGAGAGAGAATGGGAGACAGAGAGCACGAGAGGGAAGAGGGTCAGAGGGAGAAGCAGACTCCCTGCTGAGCAGGGAGTCCGATGTGGGACTCCATCCTGGGACTCCAGGATCATGACCTGAGCCGAAGGCAGTCGCTTAACCAACTGAGCCACCCAAGCGCCCGGTTCATATGTTTATCAACCATTGGATATCTTCTATACTGAAGTGCTTGTTCAGATCTCTGTTTTTCTATTGGGTTGTCTTTCTTGCTGATTTGAAGTTTTTTTATATATTTTATTTATTTTTTATTTTATTTATTCATTTGACAGAGAGCACAAGTAGGCAGAGTGGCAGGCAGAGGGAGAGGGAGAAACAGACTTCCCACTGAGCAGGGAGCCCGACTCGGTGCTCAATCCCGGGACCCTGGGATCATGACCTGAGCCGAGGGCAGATGCTTAACCCACTGAGCCACGCCCCTGAAGTTTCTTATATATTTTAATTATCAGCCCTTGGTTGTATATGTGGTAAATATTGTCCCCCAACTATAGTTTTTTTATTTTCTTAATAGTGTCTTTTGATAGATAGAAGTTCTAAATTTAAATGTAGTCCCAATTTTTCAGTCTTTTCTTTTTTGGTTGTAGCTTTATGTATCCAGTTTAAGAAATCTTTATCCTAAAGTCATGAAGATATTTGCTTATATTCCAAAAGCTTTGTTTTTCCTCTTACATTTAGATCTATAATTGAATTGGAAATGGATGTTTCTTCTGTGTGTGTGGGAGGGTGGTGGTTTCTTATTTTGTAAGGCTCGTCCATCAACTCAACACTGTTTATTGAAAAGACCATCCTTTCTCCATTACTCTGCATTTCCATCTTTTTCATAAATTATGAAGGGAGAGGTTTAAATTTAAATTGCATTCAGGTGATTCTGATATTTAGTATTATCACAGGCACATTATGCTAAATCTGCCATCTAAGAGATCTGCATCTGAACTAATCCAGAACAAATGGTCATCTCCAAAGAAGACACAGATGGTAAACAGACACATGAAAAGGTGCTCAACATCACTAATCATCAGGAAAATGCAGACCAAAACCACAATGAGTTATCACCTCCCATCTGTCAGAATGGCTAAAGTTAAAAAGATAAATAAGGGAGCCTGGCTGGTGAGGATGTGGAGATAAAGGAATCCTCGTGAACTGTTGGTGCACTAATTTACATTTAGTGCAGCTGCTATGGAAAACAGTTTGCAGGTTCCTCAAAAAATTAAAAATAGAAATACCATGTGATCCAGTAATTCCACTACAGTGTATTTACCCAAAGAAAACGAAAACACTAACTTGACAAAATATACGCTCCCCAATGCTTATTGCAACATTATTTTTTTAAAAAGATTTTATTTATTTATTTGACAAGAGACACGGCGAGAGAGAAAACACTAGCAGGGGGAGTGGGAGAGGGAGAAGCAGGCTTCCCGCTGAGCAGGGAGCCCAGTGCAGGGCTCGATCCCAGGACCCTGGGATCATGACCTGAGCCAAAGGCAGACGCTTAATGACAGCCACCCAGGAGCCCCATATTGTAGCATTATTTACAATAGCCATGATATGGAAGCAACCCAAGTGTCCAACCACTCATGAATGGGTAAAGGAGATTGTGTGTGTGTAAAATGGAATATTACTCAGCCATTAAAAAGAATGAGATCTTCCTGTTTGCAACAATATGGGGGGACCTAGAGGGTACTGTGCTAAGTGAAATACGTCATACAGAGAAAGACAAATACCATATGATTTCATTTATATGTGGAGTGTAAAAAACAAAAATAAATGAACAAACAAAAAGCAGAAATAGACCCATAAATACAGAGAACAAACTGATGGCTCTCAGAGGGAGAAGGAGGGATGGGTGGAATAGGTGAATGTGAGTGAGAGGTACAGGCTTCCAGTTATGGAATGAATAAGTCACAGGAATAAAAGGTACAGCGTAGGGAATATAGTCAGTGGTATTGTAATAATGTTGTATAGTGACAGGTGGTAGCTACACTTGTGAGCATAGCATAACATACAGAGTTGTCAGATCACTATGGTATACACCTAAAACCAATGTAACATTGTGAATCAACTATACTTAAAAGGGGGGGGGGGGCGCCTGGGTGGCTCAGTTGGTTAAGCGACTGCCTTCGGCTCAGGCCATGATCCTGGAGTCCCGGGATCGGGTCCCGCATCGGGCTCCCTGCTCGGCAGGGAGTCTGCTTCTCCTTCTGACCCTCCCCCCTCTCATGCTCGCTCTCTCTCTCTCTCTCTCTCTCTCATTCTCTCTCTCAAATAAATAAAATCTTTTAAAAAAAATAATTTTTAAAAAAAGGGAGAACAAATGGTCCTCTTTTGTCAAATTTTGAAGAATGGATATTTCATATGTGTTCTCTTTTGCGTTAAATTTATCCAGATTGTTAAATTGTCCAGATTGTTTTGGTGTGATTTAAATTCATTTATTCCTGTGAACATTAAGACTTGTTCATTTTGGGGGTGCCTGGGTGGTCCAGTTGGTTAATCCTGACTCTTGGGGGTGGGGAAAGACATTCATTTTTACTAACACCTTTGAAGATCATTAAAATTTTTTGTTCTCCATTCTTTTCAACCGGAGCAATTTTAACTATCATAATAACCTGACTAGGTATGGGCCTAATGCTTTATGGGAGATTTCAGACTGAGCAGGGTACTTGAATGTTATTTATTGTGCATTCAGTGAGGTCTGAAATTGATTAAAATGGTGATGTTTAAATTTCATACATCCCCCCCTTTTTTCTTAAAGATTTTATTTATTTATTTGAGAGAGAGAATGCGCATGAGCCAGGGGAAGGGCAAAGAGGGGAGGGCTCAACAGGGAGTTGAGCAGGGAGCCTGATATGGGACTCGATCCCAGGACTCTGGAATCATGACCTGAACTGAAGGTAGACACCTAACCGAGCCACCCAGACGCCCTAAATTTCACACATTCCTATTGGAAGAAGAATATGTGACTACAAGCTATGGCCCTTGGCTAAGGTGGGAAGTACTTCTCATCTCAGTCTACTGCCTTAACAGGAGTGGAGGCTTATGGGCAGTCATTCTGTACCTTCATTTCACTCCTCTCCCACCACCCCCAAACCCTACTTGCTGGAAGGAAACAATGAAGTTGAAACAGTGTAACAGACTCATCAATTTTTTTAAAAGTACTTTTATTTTTATTATTCATTTATTTATTTTAAAGATTTTATTTATTTATTTGAGAGAAAGAGTCAGAGATAATGACAGCACAAGTGGGGAGGAGAGGAAGAAGCAGGCTCCACTTAGGGAGCCCGACTTGGGGCTCGATTCCAGGACCCCAGGATCATGACCTGAGCTGAAGGCAGACGCTTAACCAACTGAGCCACCCAGGCGCCCCTTTTTTTTTTTTTTTTTAATTTTAAGTAGAGTCTTGGAAAGTCTGCATTCATTTACCAAATACTTACCAAACAACTAATATTTAATGTATTGGGGTATACACAAATAAATAAGACTTGGCCCCTACTCTCAAGGAATATGAAGCAGGGGAACTGGGGACATAGTTGGTCTAGTTAAGCTGTGCATCTTTAAGAAGCAGACTAGTCCTGACTCTTCCTAAACTATTTCTGATAGAACTAGCTAGGTGGAAGGGAAAGCTGGTGAGATATGTTTTTTTTTCCTGCAGTAGGAAGGAAAGGTAGGTCAGTGATTAGACCAAAAGACTAACGAGAAATTCTTCAGAGATTTATTTCAAAACAAAGTTTGCAGCTCTGTACTTTTTCTGGCCATCTCTATTTTTCAGTATTGATTGCGGAGTAATGGCTATGCAAATGCAGCTTGAAGCAAATGCAGATACTTCAGTGGAAGAAGAGAGCTTTGGCCCACAACCTATTTCACGATTAGAGGTATGTACTTAGTTAATTTTGGAATTATAATGCTAGATTAGAGTCTCCTACCTATTGGGAGAAATCATAACCTTTTCATAAACCATTGATTTATTACCTAAGGTCAAACCCAAATTAGAGTTTTCAGAAATGTTATCAAGGATCCTGTAGAAAGGCTTGAGATAATTGCTAAACATATCTGGCCAGATCTCTTGTTTAAGAATTCTACTTTATCATTTTTCTTTCTCAGAGTTGGATTGTCAAAAACTAAGAAGCCCTAGGATCCCATGGTGGAGTCTCTGTGATGTTTATACTATGTATGAAATTACAGTCCAAAGAATTAAGAGTGGCCTGGGACAGCTATGCAGGAAGAGAGAGGAGCATTGTCTCTCCACTGACCCATATCTGTCTGAAGTTACTAGCAAGACAGCTGTCGTGGTCAGGGAGAAGGGCTTGTGGTTTTTTTTGTTTTCTTTTTTTTAAAAGATTTTATTTGTTTATTCGAGAGAGAGAGAATGAGAGATAGAGAGCACCAGAGGGAAGAGGGTCAGAGGGAGAAGCAGACTCCCTGCTGAGCAGGGAGCCTGATGCGGGACTCAATCCCAGGACTCCAGGATCATGACCTGAGCCGAAGGCAGTCGCTTAACCAACTGAGCCACCCAGGCGCCCGGGCTTGTGGTTATTAAGGTATAAGAGCCAAGCTCCAATTCAGGACTCTGCACAGGAACATCAAGCACTAGAGCTGGAGCCTTGCACTATTTCTTCCCATTGTACCAAGGCCCCACAGTGTGAACGCAGCTGACATAGGCTGAAAGAACTAGGAGAGAAAGCAGAGAAAGCCTTCATTCTTCTGTCTCTTTAAAACATATTCCTACCACCCCCAGCTAAGCTTCAGGACTCCAGAAGTTAATTTAAACAGGTTTGTGATAAATATTACAGAGTTCAGCATCACAAATTCTGGTATCATGAGCATCCTTATACCCACACATGCATTTTGCTTATTGCTTAAATATTAATAGTAGAGCTTATTTCTATTGGCAGGTACTGTTCTCTCCCCTCTCAACCCTTTCTAACCCGCAAATACATAAACATTCCACCACTAACTAATATTGTCCCAGCAGTCATAGCTTCAGTGGCTAATAAAATCAAAGCTGAATTTGTAATATAGGTAGGAAGAGGTATCTTTGGGTGGTTTATTTTGAGAAATTGGTATATGAGTCCTTGACCAAAAGTAGTTTTCCCCCATTTTCTTTTTTAAGATTTTATTTATTTATTTGAGAGAGAGAGCGAGCATGGGCAGGGGGAGGGGCAGAAGGAGAAGCAGACTCCCCATTGGGCAGGGAGCCTGACATGGGGCTTGATCCCAGGAGGCTGGGATCATGACCTGAGCTGAAGGCAGACGCTTAACTGACTGAGCCTCCCAGGCACCCTGGTTTTCCCCCATTTTTAATGTCAGTTGTTAGAGCTTTTCAGTCATTTTGCTACCCTCAGCTCTGGGGCAGCCTTATCTGTTTATTCCAGCTTAGATTAAGAAAAAAAAAAGATTTTTTTTTTCTTTAATGTGTGCTTGATGTAGAAAACATTGGAAACACCGGTTTAAGGTGGCTTCTTAGGGCCCAGTGTTTCAAAGTTTTTTTGTTTTTTTTTTTTTGACAGAGAGAGCATAAGTAGGGGGAGTGGCAGAGGGAGAGGGAAAAGCAGACTCCCCATTCATCAGGGAGCCCAATGCAGGGTTTGATCCCAGGACCCTGGGATCATGATCTGAGCCAAAGGCAGATGCTTAATGACTGAGCCACCCAGGCGCCCCTCAAGGTTCATTTATTTATTTATTTATTTTAGATTTATTTATTTGACAGAGAGAACACAAGTAGAGTGGCAGGCAGATGGAGGGGAAGAAGCAGGCTCTCTGCCGAGCAGGGAGCCGGACTCGGGGCCTGATCCCAAGACCCCAGGATCATGACCTGAGCCGAAGGCAGCTGCTTAACCGACTGAGCCACCCAGGTGCCCCTCAAGGTTCATTTAGAGTCCAGTCATAAAAGGTTGAGAGTTACAGGTTTATTCCAGTGCCTGTGAATTAGTGGTTTGGTCCCAACTCATGATGAGAACACGTACATGGGATTACCAGTTTAAAAGTATTGGTTTTCAAAATGAAAAGGTTGATAATTTGTTATTAAATACCTCATGTGTAGAGAATACTTTTCAAAGCTTTTGCATATAATATCACGGTTCTTTAAAACAGCTCTGAAGTGGGTAGGGCAAATATCTACATTAGATGAGAGAACTGAAGCTTACATTTATCCATGGTTTTCTTCACTTGCAGCAATGTGGCATAAATGCCAATGATGTGAAGAAATTGGAAGAAGCTGGATTCCATACTGTGGAGGCTGTTGCCTATGCACCAAAGAAGGAACTAATAAATATTAAGGGGATTAGTGAAGCCAAAGCAGACAAAATTCTGGTAAGTACTGCTTATGTGATGTAGGGAGGCATTAGTGGGAATAGTACAAAAGGATATACAGTGAAAAGTTGCAGTGTTCCTCCTTCATCCCTCATTGTGTCATCGTGTTTCCCTTTACGGAGGTGACTGCACTAGTTAATTATCTTTGAATGTGCCTCCTGGCATAAATTGGGATTGTCTCTCATGGAAATTAGTTTCATGGGGTATAAGTACCGCCAAATTGACAAGTTTGCATTCCCACCAACAGTGAGTGGTATGTACCTTATCTTTCTAGAAATTTTGATCTCGTGCCTTAGAAATACATTCATTAGTATGTAGCCACTAAAAAGAGTTTCAAAAAATATTCGTTGACATAGGAAAATGTTCCTGATATAAGAAAGCAGGGTAATAAAACACATAAGTATGTACATATATGCATGGTTGGTTTTTGTTTTTAAAAATGTGTATATGTATAGCACATATACAGGATAAATACACTAAAATATTTGTGGTGTTATTTCTGGATGGTAAGAATGTGAGTAATTTTTATTTTTGCCTTGATTTTCTAAAGTTTCTTCATTTTGTATAATAAGTTTTACTTCCAAATAGAAAAGTTGTTTTTATTTCTTGTTAGCTAACTAATCATAGGCAAGATTCTCCAATAATGACAAGAGAATGTGATTTCAAATCATGTGCTTAGTTTTGTTTTTTTTTTTTAACCTTAATGATATAAGTGATTGTACTGGCTTAATAGAAATGAAGTAGTAATCTTGTAATCCCTTATGGCATTTTAACTTTGAAATCTCATCCCTTTCATACATACTCTCATCTGACCTTCATAACAACACTGAGAAAAATAGGTAGGGCCAGTATTATCTCTGTTTTACAGATAAAGAAACTTAAGGTACAGTGGTTCAAGTATTTACCCAAGGTCATGCAGGCAGTGGCAGAACTAAAACTAGAATCCAGTTATTTTCATCCTGTCATATTATGATCTTTTCTCATTTTCCTCCAGTGTTTTACAGCTACTATTTATTTTTCTTTACCATTCATAATTCTCCATGATTACATTTTATTTTATGCACTTATCCTTTGGTATTTATATAGTTATTATACAGTTGGGTTTTTTTTTTTTTAAAGATTTTATTTATTAGAGCATGAGTGGGCAGGATGGAGGGAGAGCAAGAAGTAGACTTCCCACTGAGCAGGGAGCCCGACTCGAGACTTACTCCCAGGACGCTGCGATCATGACCTAAGCCATAGGCAGATATTTAACTGACTGAGCCACCCAGGTGCCCCTGTAGTTAAACATTTGGTTAGCTTTACCCTTGAACTTTTATATAGCGTAAAGTAAATATCTATAAAATTGCATTTTCATATTTTATGTTGATTATTATAGTTTCACAGAAATTTTTCTCTGAAAAGATTTTCAAAGCCTAAAGAATATTCCAAAAAGACTGCATCCTCTGTTATTGGTTAGCTACAGTGTATATACTGCCATGTAACTTAGTCAGATGAACAATATCTGAGATTTGTGAGTACTTACTATTTCCTATATTAATACATGCACAACCTGATGAGTTCTGTTTTATTGGGTATTATATTGAGAGCTTTGAATTTTTAAGCACTGGCAGGGATTTTACTTCATTTATTTAGACCACTTTATAATAGTAACTCAGGGCTGAAAAGTAATTTTTTTTTTTAAAGATTTATTTATTTTTAGAGAAGAGAGAAAGAGCATGACCAGGAGGGGCAGAGGGAAAGGGAGTGAGAATTCCAAGCAGACTCCGAATGGGCTTGATCTCACGACTCTGAGATCATGACCTGAGTAAGCCAAAACCAAGAGTCAAATGCTTAACCAACTGTGCCACCTAGGCGTCCCCAAAGTTTTCATTCTTAAGTCCTTAGAGGAAAGATGTTGCTATCCATGGAAGTATGAAGTTATCTTTTTTTTTTTTTTAAAGATTTATTTATTTATCTGAACATGGACCCTGGTGCAGGGCTCAGTTCTCACAATCCTGAGATCATGACCTGAGCTTAAACCAAGAGTTGTGTGTTTAACCAACTGTGTCACCCAGGTGCCTCTGAAGTTGTCATTTATTGTATTATTCAGATATGTTTAAGTGGTGACTTAATTGGGAATGACAGTTCTGAGCCCCTGATACCTCATCGAAAGAGTATGTGTGATACTATGCCAGTAGATGTCCCTAAAGTCTATTGGTTGTTTTCTTTCTGGGCATTAATATTTGTGACAGAACAAATCCTGACAGGATCTTTGCTTATGCCTTGTCAGACCTTAGTTTTAGAAATCAAATCAGGGCTCCTGGGTGGCTCAGATGGTTAAGTGTCTGCCTTCAGCTCAGGTCATGATCCCAGGGTCCTGGGATCGAGTCCCGCATCGGGTTCCCTGCTCCTTCGGAGCCTGCTTCTCCCTCTGCCTCTCTCTCTCTCTCTCTCTCTCTCTCTCTCTCTCTCTCTGTCTCTCATGAATAAATAAATAAAATCTTTAAAAAAAAATCAAATCAGTGTCCTGCTTTTATGAAAACACAAATAAAAACCTTTAATAAAGCAAAATGAGATGTGCAAAATGATACAGAGCTAGGTCTATTTTTCTTTCCTCTTTGATTTTAGACATATTGTAAATTTCTAGTAGATAAAGATTGATGATGTTATTTGCTTTTAAAGGTTAAAGAAGATTTCTTCAGTCTGGCACCTGGGTGGCTCAGTTGTTAAGCATCTGCCTTCAGCTCAGGTCATGATCCCAGGGTCCTGGGGTCGAGTCCCACATGGGGCTCCCTGCTTGGCAGGAAGCCCGCTTCTCCGTCTCCCACTCCCCCTGCTTGTGTTGCTGCTCTCACTCTCTCTCTCTGTCAAATAAATAAATGAAAAATTTTTTTTTTTTTTTAGATTTTATTTATTTATTTGACAGAGACACAGTGAGAGAGGGAGCACAAGCAGGGGCAGAGAGAGAGGGAGAAGAAGGCCTCCCGCAGAGCAGGGAGCCCGATGTAGGGCTCGATCCCAGGACCCTGGGATCATGACCTGAGCCGAAGGCAGATGCTCAACGACTGAGCCACCCAGGCACCCCAATAAAAATCTTAAAAAAAAAAAAAAAGATTTCTTCAGTCACTAGAGCTATTCCCCCAAAGTCTTTGAGATTTTCTTCTTCTTTTTTTTTCTTTTCTTTTTTTTAAGATTTTTTTATTTTAGAGAGAGCATGAACGGGAAGGGCAAAGGGAGAAGGAAAGAGAATCTGGAGCAGAAAACTCCATGCTGAGCACAGAGCCCCACGTGGGGCTTGATCTCACGACCCTGAGATCACAACATGAGCCAAAACCAAAAGTCGAACACTCAACTGACTGTGCCACCCAAGCGCTCCTGAAATTGAGATTTTCAAAAAGAATATCCACTGTTACAGTGGAGAAAGGAAAATAAAATCCATTTGTAGTATGTAAATCAAAGTGGTTAAGAAAGATTTTATGAACGATTTCATTCAGAAGGTTACAGATTTTTATGTGATCTTTTCCACATTTTCAAAGTTTAATTTTAATTGGCTTTTGTTGAACTGTGTTTTCTTGGTGTACTGTAAGCACTGACAGATTCAGCACCGTTATTTTTTGTAATATTTTTCATTTTTTAAGATTTATTTATTAGAGGACATGCGTGCACTTGTGTGTGCAGTAGGAGGAGGGACAGAAGGAGAGAGAATCCCAAGCCGACTCCCTGCTGAGTGCAGAGCCCTAACCAGGCTCCATCTCACAACCCTGAGATCATGACCTGAGCTGAAATCAAGAGTCGGTCGCTTAACCGACTGAACCACCCAGGTGCCCCATAATACTTTCCTTCTATTCACCATTCTATGTCTTATGTCCAAGGTCTGGTAGTTGTTGGCTATTGAAAACTATAGATTTAAGACTTCACCTAGCACAGATGAAAGTAACGTATTACATTAAGTGTGAGAATAAAGTTCTCCCAGATTAGGCAGTTGCATGGTTTTTACTTCACATTTCACTTGGTTATAATATTTTGTTCGTGTAAGGGCTCATATTCTAGAAAATTTAGGAGTTAAAAGTGACAAACAGGAAAAGCATCTCCTATGTTTTTTTCTTAGCAGTTTGTTATTAAAATTTCTTAACTTACTGTAATGCTGAAAGAATTTTACAATGAAAACTCATGCACCCACCACCTAGACTCTACCATTAACATTTTAATATATTTGACTTACCACCTGTCTATTCATCTCTATCCAACAATCAGTCCATCTTGGATTTTTTTTATACTTTTCAAAGAAAGTTGAAGATGTCAATACATTTCCCCCTAAATATTTCAGCATACATTAATTAGGGTTCAGTAGTGGTTTATAGTCTCACTCACGCCCTTGCTTTGGTATTTGTATTTTCTATTTTTCATTAATCTTCATTTTTCCTGAAGATTAGTAGAAGTTATATAGGAAGAGAGATCATAGAAAAAAAGAAGGGAAGAAATTCTCAGATATAATAGAAAATTTGCCAGAGCTAAAGGGAAACAGAAATCTCACATAGTAAGAACTCATTGAGTGTCAAAGACCCACAGCTAGACACATGAGTGTGAAATTTCAGTTTATCAGTCATAAAGAAGATTCTGAAAGAATTCAGAGGAAAACAATTCTAAAGGAACAAAAATCAAAGACTACCTTTTTTTTAAGATTTTATTTTTTTAAGTAATCTCTACACCCATTGTGGGGCTTGAACTCAACCCTAAGATCAAGAGTTCCATGCTCCACCAACTGAGCTTGCCAGAAATCTGACTGGTAGAAACTAGTAGGACAATGCCTTCAAAGTTCTGAGGGAAAATAATTTTTTTTTTTTTTAGATTTAATTCATTTGAGAGAGTGTACAAGCGGGTAAGCGGGTGGAGGTGCAGAGGGACAAGAAGACTCCCCGCCGAGCATGGAGCCAAACGTGGGCCCCAATCCCAGGACCCCAAGATTGTGACCCGAGCTGAAGTCAGATGCTTAACCGACTGAGCCACCCAGGCACCCCTAAGGGAAAATAATTTTAAACCTAGAATTCTGTTCCAGCAATTTTATTAACCAAGTACTTGGGCAGAATAAAACATTTTCAGAAATAAAAGATCTCAGAATATTTTTCTCTTATCCACTTTCTTAGGAAGTTACTTGAGGATATACTTCAACAAAATGAGGGTGGAAAACAAAAGATCTAGGTTAGACTCCAACTCAAGTACTCAGTGAAGGAGGGTTGGGACAGTAGTTAACCTAGAGAGCAAACAGCCCAGTTTGGAGAAGAGAAGGAACTTCAGGTAGAAGAGTTTCAGTAGAATACATGGTAAGATTGAGAGGTTGGTAAATTTGAGAAATGATAAAGTCAGAAAACACTGGAGAAAGATATGACTCAGATATAAAAGCAAGGTAAAATGGACCGTGATTTTAAAACTGGTGGCGTATAAAAAAAATGATTTGAATTTCACAGCAGAAACCTATGAGGGACATTGAGTTGTTAACATTGGAATTTTAGTGAAAGAATTGTACTTCTAGAACACTGTTTGGTGTTGCAATGAATTAATTTACAAAGCTGTAACATAAATGTAATGAGTTTTCAAGTGAGATAGTATTAGAGAAGTTTAGAGAATAATTTAAAGCTACTACTCACCTATTCATTGATTTTCTTTTTTCTTTGTGTAAAGTTTTTACCTTTTTTTTTTAAAGATTTATTTATTTATTTATTTGACAGAGACACAATGAGAGAGTGAATACAAGCAGGGGGAGTGGGAGAGGGAGAAGCAGGCTTCCCACAGAGCAGGGAGCCCGATGCGGGGCTCAATCCCAGGACCCTGGGATCATGACCTGAGCCGAAGGCAGACGCTTAACCAACTGAGCCACCCAGGCACCCTGTGGAGTTTTTAAATGATAAGTTTAATCTCTGCTTGCTATGGATGTATTCAGATTTTTCTTTTCTTTTTTTTTTTATAGTCAGACTCCGTTTATTTTACCGAATTTAGATTCAGGTTCAACTAGGGATGCCTCGGTGATTCAGTTGGTTAAGAGTCCTGGGATCGAGTCCTGTATTGGGGGGGGGGGTCCTTGCTCAGCGGGGAGCCTGCTTCTCTCTCTGCCTGCCGCTCCCCTGGCTTGTGCTTGCTCGCTTGCTCACGCTCTCTCTCTCTCTCTCTCACAAATAAAATCTTATAGATTTAGATTCAACTAATGATTTGTGCTTTGACTTGGATGATTTTGATGAGTTTTGGATTATTGAGTTTTAATAGTTTGTATCTTTCTAGGAATTTGCTTATTTCATTGAAGTTATCTAATTTGGCATAGAATTCTGTTTTTGTAAGGTTGATAGTAATGTCCTTCCATTCCTGATTTGTGATTTGAGTCTTTTTTTCCTTGATCTAGCTAAAGGTTTATCAATTTTGCTTGATTTTCAAAGAACCAACTCCTGGTTTCTTGATTTTTCTCTAGTTCTAGTCTCTATGTTATTAGTTTCTACTCTAATCTTCCTTCCTTCCTTCCTTCTGCTTAGTTTGTTTAGTGTGCCTTCTCTAGTATCTTTTATTTATTTTAGAAAGAAAGCACGTGAGCATGAGCAGGAGTTGCAGAAGGAGAGGGAGAAAGAATCTCAGGCAGACTCCATGCTGAGCACGGAGTTTGAAGCAGGGCTCAGTCCCAGTACCTTGAGATCATGACCTGAGCTGAAAACCAAGGGTTGGATGCTTAACCAACTGCACCATCCAGGCGCTCCTGAATGCACTTATTTTAAATTTTGGAATTAATTGATTATTGAAAACTTATCAATGACTGAAAAATAGGATATAAATGTTTTCAACCTTGACAGCGTAAAAGAAAAGGTACAGCTGACAGAGATGGGGAAGGTAGACATGGAGGGAAAAGTGATTAAAGGACAGATGTCCTCATTTAACAAAGTAGGAAGTTAAGAGAGTCTGTGGTTGATGGAACAGGAAATGAGAATTTATTTTTTTTAAAGATTTTATTTATTTATTTGAGAGAGAGAGAGAGAGAGAGAAACAGTATGAGAGGGGAGAAGGTCAGAGGGAGAAGCAGGCTCCCTGCTGAGCCAGGAGCCTGATGTGGGACTCGATCCCAGGACTCCGGGATCATGACCTGAGCCGAAGGCAGTTGCTTAACCAACTGAGCCACCCAGGCGCCCAGGAAATGAGAATTTAAATATTTTGTTAGACTTCATACTGTATCGTCACATTTGTCATGAGTCGGGCGAAGTACATATGTGTGGGTCTATAATAGGTTTTTTTTATTATGTGGATGTATTACTTGAATTAACAATTAAAAAATTAATTTTCATTGAGTCTCTAAATTAGCTTATCCTTTAGTTGCCAGAGAGAGAAAATAATCCTAGAACTAAAACTATTAGTATATTGATGACTTTTTATTTTTTTAAGATTTTATTTATTTGTCAGAGAGAGTGAGCACAAGCAGGGGGAGTGACAGGCGGAGGAAGAATCAGGTTCCCTGCTGAGCAAGGAGCCCGATGCAGGACTCGATCCAAGGACCCTGGGATTATAACCTGAGCCGAAGGCAGACGTTTAACTGAGCCACCCCGGAGTTCCTTTTGATGACTTTTTAAAGAGAAAGCACTCTGGAAATTTTGTTACAATTTGTCTCTTCCCGCAGTATGTCTGATTCTTGTTTTACTAATAATCATATTTTGTTGATTTGACATTTCTTATTTTTCCCAGACGGAGGCAGCTAAATTAGTTCCAATGGGTTTCACTACTGCAACTGAGTTCCACCAAAGGCGGTCAGAGATCATACAGATTACTACTGGCTCAAAAGAACTTGACAAACTACTTCAAGGTATAGTAATCCCTTATCCTCGTCTGTAAACTGCAGTTAGCAAAGCATCCAGGTCACAGAACAAAACTAAAGTATTTGGGTAGAATTTATCTGTTAGATACAATTAAGAGATAAGAGAACTATCCACATTGAAGAAGTAAGACTGCTGCCGGGAGGACCTTACTTATGCTAAAATTATCTGCCAATGAAATAATTGAATTTCTGTTTAATACTGCATTCAGAGAGAGAGTAAGCATCCTCTGCTTACTTTAACACAAAGTTGAAAATCTGATAACTAAAACACTCCATGTTTGAATACTGTGTTATAGTATCAATGCATGGTAGTGCACAGTAGTTCACACTAAACTTTTGGACTTTATGGAAACCTGTAAAGTTTTTGAACTTTTGAAAACATTGCTGTCCTAAATTATCGCAAGGTTAGATTTTTTTCTTGTTTCCCCAAATATTTAATCATTTAAGTTTTATTTAGGGTGCAAAATAGTATGCATTCAGGAATATGTGCAAATTACTTAATATCTCTATGCTTCAGTTTTATTGTCTTCATGGTGAGGATAAAAAGACTTCCTACCTTATAGGTTATTGGAATTAAATGAAATGGTACATATATTTGCATAGCACGATGCCAGGTACACAAGAAACATTTAGTAAATGTTAGATGATATCTCTAATTTTTACATTTACTGCTTATTGACTTGTGATGGTTTAGTTCTATATCTTGATTGTGGTGGTAGTTACATGAAGCTACAGATGTGATAAAATTGCATAGAACTATACACATATACACAAATGAGATGCGTGCATTTATAACTAGAGAAATCTGAACAAACTCTGTGGGCTGTCTCGCTGACAGTTTTCTGATACTGATACTGTGGTTACATAAGATGTTAACACTGGGGGAGGCTGACTGAAGAATTCTTGGGACCAGGGTGCCTGGGTGGCTCATTCGGTTAAGCGTCTGCCTTTGGCTCAGGTCGTGATCCTGGGGTCCTGGGATCGAGCCCCACATCAGGCTCCCTGCTCCGTGGGGAGCCTGCTTCTCTCTCTCCTGCCAGCCGCTTCCCCTGCTTGTGCTCGCTCTATCACTCTCTCTCTCTCTCTCTCTCTCTCTGTCAAATAAATAAATAAAATCTTTTGCCAGAAAGAGGGGGAAAGAGAGCGAGCACAAGCAGAGGGACAGGCAGGCAGAGGGAGAAGCAGGCTTCCCACTGAGCAAGGAGCCTGATGTGGGACGTGATCCCAGGACTTTGGGATCATGACCTGAGCCAAAGGCAGGTGCTTAACCGACTGAGCCTACCAGGCATCCCTAAATAAATAAAATCTTAAAAAAAAAAAAAAAGAATTCATGGAACCTCCCTGTACATTTCTTTGTGGTTTTCTGTAAATCTAGAATTATTTCAAAATAAAAAAGTATTTTAAAAGCTGTTCTTGTTGAAAATTGAATTTCCAAATTATGTATACATCTTTCTGATGAGTTCCAAGGACATTTCTATGATTATTGTTTCTAAACATTTGTATTTTACTAAGAGGTGTTTCTTACTGCTCTTCTAGGAGGAATTGAAACAGGGTCCATCACAGAGATGTTTGGAGAATTCCGAACTGGGAAGACTCAAATCTGTCATACGCTGGCTGTAACATGCCAGGTAAGCTTTTGGGCTCTAACCAAATCAGCAAAAATTAGTTGATTGCTATTTGCAAGCATCTTTTGGGATGGACATTAAGGGCACTTTATCCCTAAGATAAAGTTTATTCCACGTCCTAGAAACTTTAACGCCATTGTTTTCAGATTATTTCATCGTTTCAGATGTTTTCTTTTTTTTTCTTTTTTTTTTTTTTAAAGATTTTATTTCTTTATTTGACAGAGAGAGAGACACAGCGAGAGAGGGAACACAAGCAGGGGGAGTGGGAGAGGGAGAAGCAGGCTTCCCGCGGAGCAGGGAGCCCGATGCGGGGCTCGATCCCAGGACCCTGGGACCGTGACCTGAGCCGAAGGCAGACACTTAACCGTCTGAGCCACCCAGGTGCCCCCAGATGTTTTCTTATCATCCACTATGCCTCCCCTGTTTTCACCTGCCCTCTTCAGTAGTCTAGATTTTATGATTTCACCATTAAAGTCATTCTTCAGATATATATTCCCCACCTAAAGAGATGTAAGTCTTAGATGAACCCTTCTAAGAGGCTTCTCTGAGAACTTTTTTTTTTTTTTTTTTTTTTTTTTGAGCAAGAGTGAGCAAGAGAGCATGACTTGGTTGGGGGGAGAAGCAGACTCGATCCAAGGACTCCGAGATCATGACCTGAGCCAAAGGCAGACGCTTACCCAACTGAGCCATCTAGGCTCCCCATGAGAACTGTCTTCTTAGTGCCTATTCCTTAATAGCTGATCATACTGGAGAAAAATCATACCATAAAGCTGATTGTCTTTAAATTCAAGCTGACAGACATCAGATTAACATCCAATACTGCTTAGCAGACCTACTAAATTTGTTGAGGCATTCTTTTTCCCATTCAGTAAGACAGTTCTCATGCTTTGTTCTTTCTTCTCAAACCTTCATGCTCCTGTTGAACCCTCACTCAGCCAATGACTAACCTGTTCTTCACATCAAATTTATAAATCCACCTACAATTATACCCATCTTTTCTTATCTTGGGCTACAATGGAAAAGGTGTCTCTTTTCTTTTCAAAACCCCATGCTATCAGTGTGATCTGGTTTACCTCTGACCACCTCCATTTTCTGCTTTACCTCTGTATTAAGTATCTCTTCCAAAACTTTTTTTATTTTTTTATTTTTTAAAGATTTTATTTATTTGAGAGAGAATGAGAGATAGAGAGCATGAAAGGGAAGAGGGTCAGAGGGAGAAGCCGACTCCCTGCTGAGCAGGGAGCCCGATGTGGGACTCAATCCCGGGACTCCAGAATCATGACCTGAGCCGAAGGCAGTCGCTCAACCAACTGAGCCACCCAGGCGCCCCCCAAAACTTTTTTTACTTATAGTCTCATTCATAGGAGGATTTGGAAACAGACACAGTAAATTAATGTCTAAGGTCATGTTTTATTGAAATAATAGATTAGTGGGTGGCTCAGTAGGTTAAGTGTCCGACTCTTGATTTTGGCTCAGGTCATGATTTCAGGGTCATGAGATTAAGCCCTGCGCTGGGCATGATGCCTGCTTGAGATTCTCTCTCTCCCTCCACCCTTACCCCCCCCCCCAAAAAGAAGAGGCGCCTGGATGTCTCAAAAGGTTAAGCATCTGCCTTTGGCTCAGATCATGATCTCCAGGTCCTGGGATTGAGCCCCATGTTGGGTTCCCAGCTCAGCAGGGAGTCTGTTTCTCCCTCTCCCTCTGCCTTTCCCCCTGCTTGTGCTTTCTCTGCCTCTTTTGCTCTCTCTCAAATGAATAAATAAAATCTTTTTTAAAAAAGAAAAAGGATGCTAATTCATTAATTACAGAAAGGATTACATTTCACCAGCCTAAGAGCTAGAACTAGAGGTATAGAGAGGATGTTACATTACGGCTTAATAAACATTATCTGCTCTCATTTGTTCAGATTTTCTTAACTTAATGAAGTGAAACTCTATTACATTAGATCTCTATCTAATAATGAAGTTACATAAAGTTGAGAGCCACAGATCACAAAAATGAACAGACCATGTTTCTTTAAAGTACTAGACTAATTTTAAAATTCAGAGAAGACAATTTTTCATACATACCAATTTTAAATGCATATACCCTTTGACAGAAAATGTGGCTTACACAACTATTCACATATAGTCAAGGATAAATGTACAAAGAATTTGCACCACAGCATTATAAAATGGTGAGAGTTCAAAACAACCTACATCACTGTAAAATAGGAAGAAGAGTTAAATTATGGTACTATAAAAATAGCTAACTTGGTGGTGGTGTTCCAGTCCAGTAGTACAAGATGACTGCAATGACACTGGAGGGCAAGATGGAGGAGACAGAATGGGCTGGAGTGCAGAGTATGCGGTCCATCCCCTACACTGGGACCTTTTCCACTTTTCTGTCAGTCTTCCTACCCATACCCAGTCAACTATGGTCTCCCTTCTGCCCACAGAGTTCTTTGTAGCTGGAAAAGAGCTTCCTCTCTTGCTAGCACTAAAGATGACAGAAAGTGAGAGAAGTGGGGATCCTCATTCATCTTAATTCTTTAATTTTTAGCCCCTTGAGTGTCAAGATTTTCTCCTCACCCAAAAAACTAAGCATTTGCTGTCCTCTTAGCCAGTGATTTCAAACCTTTCCTTTGTCAAGACCCTCTTTTGTTGTATACATATCCTTTGCTCCTTCCATGGATTCTTAGGATTTAAAAGATTTATCTGCCAACTTTTGAAATGATAATCATTTTTCCTTTTCCGAATTAACAAAGCCTCTGTAACTGAGCTAAGGTGAGTGCCTTAGAGGTGGAGAATATCATCAGTTCTCAAAGTGCTTTCTGTATGTCAGGCACTGTCTTAACACTTTGTGAGTTACTTAATCTTCAGAACAATCCCATGAGGTGGGTTTTATCTACATTTTAAGGAAAAGGAAACTGGGATTAATATTCTCAAGGTAACATAGTAATGGCAGAACCACATATGAAGAGTGTTGTATGAAAATGCACAGGGGCACCTGGGTGGCTCGGTTGGGCGACTGCCTTCGGCTCAGGTCATGATCTCGGGGTCCTGGGATCGAGCCCCGCATCGGGCTCCCTGCTTGGCGGGAAGCCTGCTTCTCCCCTTCCCACTCCCCCTGTTTGTGTTCCCTCTCTCGCTGTCTCTCTCTCTGTCAAATAAATAAATCTTTAAAAGAAAAAATGCATAGGTGATGATGATCTGGAAGATTACTTGCGGAAGATGGGAGTGATGAAGAGCTTTCAATTTTTACTCATTTCTATATTGTGTGAATTTTTAATACAAGGATATAGTACTTGCATGATTTTTAAAAATATTTTCTCAGAAACAGGAAAAGAAATAAAATTTGATGCTTCTTGGCCCTTACTGTGAAATGTCCTAAAGGATTTTCCTCAGAATTTAAAGGTGAATTATTGCTCCAAAGTAGATTGCTAGGGTGGAAACTGCCCTTTAGCATCATTCACGTAAAATTTGTAGAACTCAAAGGTGTCTGGCATAGGATGGGTAACCTAAAACCAAGAATTCCCTAAGTCGCTCATAAGACAATATTGATGGCATTCCTCCCTTTTCTTTCTTTTTTTTTTTTTAACTCTATTTTGCTTTTTCTCCTTTTGTTTATTTTTAACATCTGTAGATACTATTGGAATAAACACCTTTTTTCTTCTCTCTCAGTCATACTTTAAACTTACAAAGAATGCTCCTAGGGCATTGCCAAGCCCCTTTAGGGACCTGCAGAAGCAAACTGCTTAATAAAGTGAAGTGTAAGTGTGGTCTGGATGTGACAAAATTAATTGGGTATTGGATCAGGGTCTCTAACTTATTAAAGCTAGGGTAGTAAATGATGTTTCCAAAGGTTTGTACTCTTGAGAGAATTGTTCGATCTTGTGTTGGTATTCAGTCATAGAATTTTATCACCTACTTTGGACTATATTTCCAAGCAGTCCAACTCTGGCAAGAAAGAGTCTGGCTTTGCATGCTGTGGAACACCAGGAGTTTCATATCTACTACTAGCTGTATTTCTATCAGAAGGGAATGCCTCCTCCTCTCTACTTCTCATTGACTCTTTAAAATGTTTTTTCCCTTTGCTTTATTGGGGGTGGGTGGGGAAGTTGATTAGTTACATCAGAAGTACAGTGTTAATTTCCACACTGTTCTTTTTGTTCTGTCTAGCTTCCCATTGACCGAGGTGGAGGAGAAGGAAAGGCCATGTACATTGACACTGAGGGTACCTTTAGGCCAGAACGGCTGCTAGCAGTGGCTGAGAGGTAGGTTACTGAATTAGATGAGAGAAATCTTTTTTTTTAATATTTTATTTATTTGAGAGAGCAAGAGCTGGGGGGACAGAGAGAGAGGGAGAAGCAGGCTCCCCACTGAGCAGGGAGCCAGACACAGAGCTCAATCCCAGGACCCCAGGATCATGACCTGAGCCGAAGGCAGACGCTTAACTGATTGAGCCACCCAAGCGCCCCTAAGATGAGAGAAATCTGGCTGCACCTGTCACTGTAGTGATTGCCAGGGTTCGTATGTCTGAAGAGTGTTTCTTCTCTTACTGGTCTGAATCCCAAAGTTATGTGTGTAGTTCAGAAGAATGACCTTCCTTAGAAAAAAAAGTACTTTTTTTTTTTTTTTTTAAGATTTTATGTATTTATTTGACAGAGACAGCGAGAGAGGGAACACAAACAGGGGAAGTAGGAGAAGAAGAAGCAGGCTTCCCGCTGAGCAGGGAGCTCGATGCGGGGCTCGATCCCAGGACTCTGGGATCATGACCTGAGCCAAAGGCAGACGCTTAATGACTGGGCCACCCAGGTGCCCCAAAAAAGCACTCTTTAAAATCTATGAGTTATTGTCAGACTGGATAAAAAACTATATCCAACTATATGCTGTTGTCTAGAGAAACACTGTAGATTGAGAGACACAAATAGGTCGAAAGAAAAAATAATGGGAAAAGATACTGCACCCAAACAGTAACCATAAGAGAATTGGCTATTCTACTATCAGACAGTATAGACTTTAAGACAAGAAGAAAATACATTACTAGAGATAAAGAGGAACATTTTATAATTAAAAAGTCAGTTCATTGGGAAAATAGAACAATTACAAACATATCCATGCCTTAATAATAGGCTCCAAAATATGTGAAACAAAAACTGACTTAATTGAAAAGCAAAATAAGCAATTTAACCATAATGACTGGGGACTATGTCTCACTTCAAAAAACATATAGCTACTGTACCTAATGGTGGAAGTCTGAATGCTTTCTCCTTAAGATCGCAAACAATATAAGGATGTCCACTCTCACCATTTACATTCCATTGAAGGTGGAATATACTGAATGTACCAGAGGTCCTAGTCAATGCAATCAGGTGAGAAAATAAAATCAAAGGCATCCAGATTGGAATGGAAGATGTAGAACTGTCTTTATTCACCGATGAAATGATCCTGTATGTAGAAAATCCTAAGGAATCTGCATATACACAAAACTACTAGAACTAAGTTGAGCAAGGTTGTAGGATACATTGTCACTATGCAAAAATCCATTGTATTTCCATATATAAGCGGTGAACAATTGAAAAATTAAGAAAACAATTCTGTCATTCACAGCACTGAATTCCATTCACTGTCAAAATGATCAAAAATCAAAATAGAAATAAATTTAACAGAAGACTACAAAACATTGCTGAAAGAAATTGAAGATCTACATAGAGAAACAGTCCATATTCATGGATTGGAAGACAAATTTATTAAAGTTATAATTTTCCCTCAAACTGATCTAGAAATTCAGCACAATCCCTACTGTAATTTCAGGAAGCATTTGGGCAGAAATCAACAAGCTGATTATAAAATTTATATGGAAATGTGTAGGACCCAGAATAGCCAAAACATTCTGGGGTAGTGGGAGAGAACAAAATTGTAGGTCTTGGTCTTAATTTTAAAACTTACTGTAAAGCAACAATAAGACAGTGTGGTGCTAGAATGGGACAGACATGTGGATCAGTGGAACAGAATTAAGAATTCAGAAGTGAGCTCTTTCATTTATAGTCACTTGATTTTTGACAAAGATGCCAAGGCAATTTAATGGTTCTTCAATAGTTGTCTTTTCAATAAATGGTGCTAATGAAGTTGAATATCAACATGCAAAAAGATAAATTTAGACGCTTACACTATACATAAAATTAACAAAAATGGATAATAGTGTGGTGAATCCTCAAAAAATTAAACATAGAATTATAGTATAATTCAGCAGTTCCACTTTTGAGTATATAAAGAATTGAAACAGGGACTCAGATACTTGTACACTGGTGTTCATAATAGCACTAGTCACAGTAGTCAAAGGTGGAAACACCTGGCTTATTCATCACTGGATGAATGGATAAACAAAATGTCATATAAAATGGAATATTAATCTTAAAAAGGAATGAAATTCTCACACATGCTACAACATGGATGAATCTTAAAAACATGCTAAGTAAAATAAGCCAGTTACAAAAGGACAAAGATGGTAATGATTCCTCTTATACGAAGTACCTGAAGTAGTCAATTTCATAAAGACAAAGTAGAACAGTGGTCCCTAGGGGCAGGGAGTGAGGAGAATTGGGGGTTATTTTTTGAGTGATACAGAGTTTCAGTTTGGGATGATAAAAAGTTGTGGACATGGATGGTGGTGATGGTTGCACAGCATGGGAATGTACTTACTCCACTGGAGTATACATTTTAAAAAAGCTTAAAAGGGTCAATTGTATGTCATGTATATTTATTATTATTTTATTATTTTATTATTTTATATTATATATTTGTTTTTTCTATTCCTTTTTAAGATTTTATTTATTTGACAGAGACACAGCAAGAGAGGAAACACAAGCAGGGGGAGTGGGAGAGGGAGAAGCAGGCTTCCCGCTGAGCAGGGAGCACGATGTGGGACTTGATCCCAGGATTCTGGGATCATGACCTGAGCCGAAGGCAAATGCTCAATGACTGAGCCACCCAGGCACCCTGATTTTTCTGTTCTTTCTGGGAGGAAAAACCAGAGGAAAACTATTAAAGCCATTAACTAAAGCTAAATCTCAGAATAGGTTTAATGTAGTGTATGCTTTTGTAAAGATCAGAGTCTCCACATAGAATAGACTTGCTTCTGTAAAAGACTGATAGAATCATAAACATAGAAACTTAGCGTTCTCAAAGAATGCCTTGATTTTGCTTAAACAGATTCTCTTTTAAACTATAACATAAGGGAGTCGGTGTTGTACTTTTGGACTATAATGATTTTAGGTTAACATTAATATGAAAATACTAGGATTAAAGTGATATGATTGTCTTTTTGTTTGGGTTGTGGATAAAAGCCTTATTCAGTATCACTTATTCAGAATTTAGGTATAAAAAAAGTGCTAGGTAAGAGAGGCTTAGTCTTTTCCCTCAAGGAATTTGTAGTCTAGTCAAAGAATGGTAAGGTAGCTTCTCACAAATGCCATAAAGAGGCCTAAACCAAGTTTTCTGGAAGTGCAGAAGAGGAAAATCACATCTATTTGAGAAGTGCAGAGAAGCTTTGTAAAAATGCAGGCATATAGTTGTGCCTCAATAAATGGATAAAATCAAAATACCTTTGAAGAAATGGGGACATATTGGGGTGCCTGGGTCGTGCATCAGTTGAGCATCTGACTCTTGATTTTGGCTCAGTTCATGATCTCAGAGTCGTGAGATCAAGCCCCATGTGGGGCTCTGTGCTCAGCATGGAATCTGCTTGAGATTCTCTCTCCCTCTGCCTTTGCCCCTTCCTCCTGCTCTCTCTAAAATAAATCTTTAAGAAAAAAAAATGCCCCATTATGGTATATTTAATGAGAATGAAAATTGTCTTACTTGTGAATGCTCAAAGTGTTAAGCATTCATGTCTTAGGTAGCCATTACAGAGGTGGAAAAAATAATTTTTAAAAAATAGGAAATACCTTTATATACCAACAACAAAGCCGAAGGAAGAGAAATTAAGGAGTCGATCATTTACAATTACACCCAAAACCATAAGATACCTAGGAATAAATCTAACCAAAGAGGCAAAGAATCTGTACTCAGAAACCTATAAAATACTCATGAAAGAAATTGAGGAAGACACAAAGAAATGGAAAAACGTTCCATGCTCATGGATTGGAAGAACAAATATTGTGAAGATGTCAGTGCTACCTAGAGCAATCTACACATTCAATGCAATCCCTATCAAAATACCATCCACTTTTTTCAAAGAAATGGAACAAATAATCCTAAAATTTGTATGGAACCAGAAAAGACCAGGAATAGCCAGAAGAATGTTGAAAAAGAAAAGCAAAGCTAGCGCCCTCACAATTCCGGACTTCAAGCTCTATTACAAAGCTGTCATCATCAAGACAGTATGGTACTGGCACAAAAACAGACACATAGATCAATGGAACAGAATAGAGAGCCCAGAAATGGCCCTCAACTCTATGGTCAACTAATCTTCGACAAAGCAGGAAAGAAGGTCCAATGGAAAAAAGACAGTCTCTTCAACAAATGGTGTTGGGAAAATTGGACAGCCACATGCAGAAGAATGAAACTAGACCATTTCCTTACACCACACACAAAAATAAACTCAAAATGGATGAAAGACCTAAATGTGAGACAGGAATCCATCAAAATCCTTGAGGAGAACACAGGCAGCAACCTCTTCAACCTCAGCCACAGCACCTTCTTCCTAGAAACATCTCTAAAGGCAAGGGAAGCAAGGGCAAAAATGAACTATTGGGACTTCATCAAGATAAAAAGCTTTTGCACAGTAAAGGAAACAGTCAACAAAACCAAAAGACAACTGACAGAATGGGAGAAGATATTTGCAAATGACATATCTAAATCTACCAGATATAGATTTATATCCAAAATCTATAAAGAACTTCCTAAACTCAACACCCAAAGAACAAATGATCCAGTCAAGAAAAAGGCAGAAGACATGAACAGACATTTCTGCAAAGAAGACATCCAAATGGCCAACAGACACTTGGAAAAGTGCTCAACATCACTCAGCATCAGGGGAATACAAATCAAAACGTCAATGAGATACTACCTCACACCAGTCAGAATGGCTAAAATTAACAGGTCAGGAAACGACAGATGTTGGTGAGGATGCAGAGAAAGGGGAACCCTCTTACACTGTTGGTGGGAATGCAAGCTGGTGCAGCCACTCTGGAAGACAGTGTAGAGGTTCCTCAAAAAGTTGAAAATAGAGCTACCCTACGACCCATGCACTACTGGGTATTTACCCCAAAGATACAAATGTAGTGATCCAAAGGGACACCTGCACCCCAATGTTAATAGCAGCAATGTCCACAATAGCCAAACTATGGAAAGAGCCTAGATGTCCATCAACAGATGGATAATGAAGATGTGGTATATATATATACAGAGGAATATTATACAGCCATCAAAAAATTGAAATCTTGCCATTTGCAACAACGTGGACGGAACTAGAGGCTATTATGCTAAGCGAAATAAGTCAATCGGAGAAAGACAATTATCATATGATCTTACTGATAAGTGGAATTTGAGAAACAAGGCAGAGAATCATAGGGGAAAGGAGGGAAAAATGAAAGAAGACGAAACCAAAGAGGGAGACAAAACATGAGACTCAATCTCAAGAAAGAAAATGAGGGTTGCTGGAGTGGAGGGGGTTGGGAGGGATGGGGTGTGGTTGAGTGATGGACATTGGGGAGGGTATGTGCTATGGTGAGCACAGTGAATTGTGTAAGACTGATGAATCACAAACCTGTACCCCTGAAACAATACATTATATGTTAATAAAAAAAAATAGCAAATACCTTATTTGCCTTTTTTTTTTTTGAGAGTGAGAGTGGGAGAGCACGGGGTGCGGGGGGCCCACTAGAGGGGCAGAGGGAGAAATAATCCCAAGCCGACTTCACGCCCAGCAGTGAGCCTGACGTGGGGCTCCATCACACGACCCTGAGATATGACCTGAGCCGAAATCAAGAGTTGAACACTTAACTGACTGAGCCACCCAGGCTCCCCTTATTTGCCTTTTTTAAATGCAAAGGAAAAAAAATCATTGAGGTATAAGATGAATTAAAGGATCAGTTTTAACCATACTGGATACATGTCATAGAATCTGTTTTAACTGTAACTAGTTATTAGCAAGGAAGAATAGGAGAAATGAAATCTACTTGTTTCTCTTGAACTTCTTAAAGTTTTGAGTGCTTGTTTAGAAGGTTTTATTCCTAGGGGCGCCCGGGTGGCTCATGTGGTTAAGCATCTGACTCTTGATTTCAGCTCAGGTCATAATCTCAGGGTCATGAGATAGAGCCTGGAGTTGGGTTCTGGGCTGGGCATGGAGCCTGCTAAAGATTCTCTCCCTCTGCCCCTCAAACCCTCTCTCTCCCTCTCTTAAAAAAAAAAAGAAAAAGAAAAAAGGTTTTATTCCTCTATAACAATTATATGAATTTAATTGATCTTTGAGTGATTCGTTATTTTTGTTTCAGTTCCAATTCTGTCATGTTGCATTGGTTTTTCCAGGAGAACATTTGGAACATGGTATTTGGAAATTTGTTTTGGCTCAGGAGTCCTCAAAGACTAAATTTGACTTATCCCGGTCTTGTTCAGTAGATCTACTCCAAATCAGTTGCTGCTGTCATCTCTTTCTAGTTTGTCTGGACTTCTAATAGAAAGGGAATTAATATTCTTTAGCCTTAACACTTCTTACCTAATCAAGCAATCTCTTTGCTAGAGATTAATTTCCAGTCTGCCTGAGTTTTCTTTGCAATCTAAAAATGTTCTCTATTCGCTTCCAGATATGGCCTCTCTGGCAGTGATGTCCTGGATAATGTAGCATATGCTCGAGGGTTCAACACAGACCACCAGACCCAGCTCCTTTATCAAGCATCAGCCATGATGGTAGAATCTAGGTATGTGCTCAGTGGAAGACACTGAATCTTATATAGGCTATTTGGCCAAATTGATAGTAACTTGAAATAGAAATGGGGAGATTTAAGTTTTAGTTCTTAGTCTGACACTGTTGCATTGTGGTTCAGGTCAAGTTACTGCCATAATCCATTCGAACTTATTGGAAACTTTACACATTATATAGTGCCTCAGACACGAATGCTGTACAAATATTTTAATAAAACATTTATGTACAAGTATAACTGAATATGACAGCTCAAGGTAGTGAGGAAGAGAGAATTTGACCCAGGCTCAAAATTGGCTTCATAGAGTCCTTGTTCACTGTAGGTACGCACTGCTAATTGTAGACAGTGCCACTGCCCTCTACAGAACGGACTATTCGGGTCGAGGGGAGCTTTCAGCCAGGCAGATGCACTTGGCCAGGTTTCTGCGGATGCTTCTGCGACTTGCTGATGAGGTAAGTTGTGGGATCAGGACAGAGAATGCCTACCTAATTTTCAGGGGCCTTGCTGGGAGGCCAGAACATCAGGGCCTGGTTTCACAGATACGAAGATAATATTAATCATTCATTACTTTGTGGGGAAAGGGGTGGCAGCAGTAAGGTCCTTTGGACATTAAAAAAATGACATTTATCCTTTCTCCATCAGTTTGGTGTAGCAGTGGTAATCACCAACCAGGTAGTAGCCCAAGTGGATGGAGCAGCCATGTTTGCTGCAGATCCTAAAAAACCTATTGGAGGAAATATCATTGCTCATGCTTCAACAACCAGGTAAAGTGATGGGATAGGCGACTTCGTCTTGGAATGTCATATTAACTGATGTAGACATGAAGATACAACATTTCCATTTAAATCCAGTTAAAGCTACTGTTGTATAATTAGACACATTTGCTAAACATAATTGTCATGCTCTAATATTAGTGCATATATTTGCTTTCATTTTATAAAGGAATTAATAGCCCTCAAATTTGCAAGACTGAATATGAAGGATATGCCTCTCTCTCATTTTTAAAAAACTGTTTCAATGTGGAAAATGTACTAAGGTGGGGGGCAGGGTAGGAGCGGATTCCTCCAGGTTGGAAATACCCCTAAGGAATACAGAAAAATTCCCCAAAGTCCTAGGAAGTATATAGGTCTGAAAAAAAAGAACTAGATCTACCATAAATAAGAAAAATATTTTTAAATTATAACTTTGGTCTGGTGGTTTTGTTTTGTTTTGGGTCAGACTGTATCTGAGGAAAGGAAGAGGGGAAACCAGAATCTGCAAAATCTACGACTCTCCCTGTCTTCCTGAAGCTGAAGCTATGTTTGCCATCAATGCAGATGGAGTGGGAGATGCCAAAGACTGAAACATTGGGGTTTTTCCTGTGATAAACCTTAAGTGCCTAATGGAGAGGACTGCTCCCTGGGGTTCTTCATAGGCCTCTTCCTGTTGTGACTGCCAGAAAAAGGCTTCCGGAAAAACAGCTATTGTATTGGCTTTTCTGATGGTGTAAACAGGAGACAGGTCAGTAGTCACAAACTGATCTGAAATGTTTATTCCGTCTGGAGTGTATTAATTTCTATGTGAATTATTTCAGGGGAAGCAATACCTTTCACATAGTGCCTTGGGGTTGACTCAGGACTAACAGCTGTCTACTGGACAATCTTTAGTTCTCTGCAGACAGAAGCTGGGGAGACTGGATTCTTCTCTCACTGTCTGAATAATGTTGAAATGCCTGTGTGGCAAAGAAAGTGGGTCTTCTCAGAGGTTCTTTTCTTTCTGCCAGTAAAATTCTGTCAGTCAGAAGCAGGTTCTTAGTTTGCCTAAATTATCTTATGTAAGAATTTTTTAGTTAAGGGCTATGGAGCAGGCCTTCTGGACCACCAGCCCTTCACCATCTACTTAGCAGTTAAAAAACCAAGAGTAACTCAAAATAATTCTGGAATCTTAAGCATTTAGGGGGTCTTTAAGTAGATTTAGTGTGGAGCTGCTAATAGTTATTTGTGCTGTTTGAGTATTTCAAGATAGGGCCTTTAAAATAACTTTTTGGCACTGGGTGATCAGTTTCTATTGCTTTAAAATTCAAAAATTTTAAAGGGAAGTCATATATTCAGATGATTGAGCTTATTATCCTTCAGTCTAATAGAGATTATTACAAGATGAATATCCCATGGCTTTCCAGTGGCCTTTGTGAGTCTTATGTTGTAGAGTCCTAATACTTGTCCGGATTATTCTACTTCAGGGGTTTGAGATCCTCCTCTTCTTCAGACTTCTACTCAGGATGGCTTTTAACCAGCTCTTTGAATTTCAAAAGGCCTTGTCAGCTAGTACTGGGAGGAGAGAGAGAGAAAATCTCTGCTGTTGCCTGTGCTGATCCTACTGTAGGTAGGGAGATAGGAAGACAGTCAATTTAATGCAGCTTTGTTTAAAGAATGGAGTACCTCTCCGGTCTTATCTCTCATTTCTATACCACAAAATAAACCTAGGATGATATAGTAAGCCAGAGTGACAGATTCTGGAATGGAGGCTTGGTTTTTTGTTTTTTTTTTAAAGATTTTATTTATTTATTTGGGAGAGAGAGAGAATGAGAGATAGCACGAGAGGGAAGAGGGTCAGAGGGAGAAGCAGACTCCCCACTGAGCAGGGAGCCCAATGTGGGACTCGATCCCAGGACTCCAGGATCATGACCTGAGCTGAAGGCAGTCGCTTAACCAACTGAGCCACCCAGGCACCCAGCTTGGTTCTTATATAAGAGCATTTCAATCCTTCAGTCCTATAAACTTATGTTATTCTTGTAGGTGAGATTTATCAGGTGAGATTAGGCTTTGTGCTGTTGGCCATAAGAGTAGCCTAGTTGGGGGCGCCTGGGTGGCTCAGTTGGTTAAGCTACTGCCTTTGGCTCAGGTCGTGATCCTGGAGTCCCGGGATCGAGTCCTGCATTGGGCTCCCGGAGTCTGCTTCTCCCTCTGACCCTCCCCCCTCTCATGTGCTCTCTCCCTCTCTCATTCTTTCTCTCAAATAAATAAAATCTTTAAAAAAAAGAGTAGCCTAGTTAGAATAGGCCTTATTAGGCTAAAATAGGCGCTCAGCCTGTGTTTCACATGCAACTAAAATTTCTACTGAAAGTAGCTTTAACCCAAGAGCTTAAACTATTGGGTGCTACTCTTCTATTTGTCTGTAGTAGTTTCAGTAGTAGGAAACAATTACGGAAATGTCAGGCAAGAAAGGAGCTGATGGCAAACATAGGGGAATATAGTCAAATTTGGTTTATTTCAGGTTTGTACCAAAATATATTCCAGGCAACTCCTCAGATCACTACTTCACAGTCTCATAAGCCTTATGCACTGGTGTCCTTCCAAAAGCTGCCAGGACTCTGGAAGTAAAGCAGCCCAGCCCCTCGGCCCAGGATAGTTAGAACTGATGTGATAGGTGAGAAGGGGGCAACATCCACGGGCTGCCCGGACCTTTCCTTTTACCCTGATTGACAGACAGGGTATGGCCTTAGAACTGTAGAGCTTAGAGTCAAATATTTATTAATAGAAAAGATTAGAGTACAAGTTCTGTGTTTTGTTCTTAGAGCTCTTTGAAGTTCATCCACCTCACCAGCAGGCTAAAGATAGCCCTCAGTGCTATATATATATATATATTACTCTTGATTTTTCAAGAATTCACTTAACCATAGCAATCCTGGCCTTATGTACTTCCCCAATTTCAGATAAAATAAGGGATTAGAATAAATTAACCAGTGGGCAAGAAGAAAGAAATTGGGGAATGGTTATGGATACCAGTCAGACCCAGGAGTCAGGACCACCACTTAGATTCCTGATGATCTAAGCAGGGCAGTCTCCCTCAAGTCACGAAGGCCATTGAAATGTGATTATTCTCTTAAAATTACTTCCAATTCTTCCAAGTCCTTCTGGAAAGCTGAATCCTAAGGGAAACAAAGACAAGGACTCATTTCCCAAACCACTGATACCTTCCCTGCTGAGCTCTGTTAACCACAGTCTTGAACCTACTTTCCCAGAACAGCCTGCAGCCTATGAAATCTGCCTCCTCCCCTAGGAGCCTATATGCAACAGTGTAGACTCTTTTGTAGGGAAATAAAACCTCAAGGGAAAATTTTCTTTCCTGTAAAGGTCACATGATTCAATAATGGAACAAAGTATTACCTCGTTGGTGACATCCGGCAGCTCCAGGGCTAACTTCATCCACTGTCTAGCTTCAGAGTTTTTTCCTAGTTCTCTGTAGCACTGAGAAGAGATAACAGTGAAAACCTGGGAGAACCACCACCAGGAGACTGACTTTGAGGACTTCCCATTATTTATCAACATATATAGTTTCATCTACATTGAAAAAAAAAAAAAAACAGGTGAATTTACCTTGGAAATATATACCCTCCCTGCTTTGGAAAATCCCGGCTGTAATTCTTCAGCCTAGAAAAGGGAAGAAGGCATTTCAGTAAGGAAATTACCAAATTCAAGTCAGGCTGAAGTTTATTAAATAGAGCTTTCCAGCCCTGGTCTGGGGAACTCTATCTTTATAAGCTGTCCAGGTGGTTCTGATTTTCCCATAGAAGAGACAGGCATAAAATTGCTCCCTACCAGAAATCCCTCCCTTCCTTCCCAATACTTTATACCTTTAGGAAGCTTTGGAGGGCATCCTGCACAGTGGCACTGAGAGGGCTTTCAAACAAAGCTGTAGCAGTTTTTTTTTCTAACCAACTCAGGTGAGAGACCTGCCACCAAAAGATCAAAAAGTGAATTAAAAGGTGGTTTGTTTTGTTTTGAGAGAGAGAAAGCTGGTGAGGGTGGGGCCAGAGGGGGAGAGAGAATCTCAAGCAGATTCCCTGCTGAGCTTGGAGCCTAACACGGGCTCAGTCTCATGACCCTGAGATCATGACCTGAGCTGAAACCAAGAGTCGGGAGTTCAACCAAGTAAGCCACCCAGGCGCCCTGGAATTCAGCTTACCTGGTAGCACCACCTGCCAAGGAGAAAGTGAGCCATAGGGTTTTCTGGCTGGAGAGCAATGGCTTTGTCCACGTGCTCCTGAGGGAGAAAAAATACAAATTGACATCAGAGTTGCTGAAGGAAGAACAAGAAGTCGTAGAAACCGTAGGAGCATCCTTTGCAAGGAGCAAGGAAAGAGCCGCAAATCTGGACTAGAGCAGCACAAGGGAAGGAAGAGAAGCCTTTCCTCACCTTGAAGCTAAAGCCACTCTGGATGCGCCTCTGGATGCTCTCATGCTCAGCCAGCTGACCACAAAGCACTGCATACCTAAGGGGGAAAGCCGCAGCAAGCTCAGGGACAAGACACGGGCTTCCCATCCACTGCCCCCTTCCCCCTCAAACAGAGCTGAAAATAGCATCTCCATACGTACAAAATTCCTCTTTTCACAGATCTGTGGTCCCAATTCATAATCCCCACACAATTCTCCAAAGTATGCTAGGTACAAAAAAGTGGGGTCCACCACAGTAAACTTCTCATACTTAACATTTTGGCAGTGTCTCAGTCCAAGTCTCCACAAATTTCCCCCTATAATGAGTACAGCCACTGGGGGTTGTAAAAACTTAAAAAGCAGATCTCTAATAATCAGCATCAAAATGTAAAGGACCTAAGTACATTGGTTCTTATCTCCTAAGCAGACACTAAAAAGTCTCATTAGCTTTAGAAGCATACAGGCATGTCCTGGGGAAGCTATATTCCAAGACAAACTGGGATACTCTAGGAAATTCTAATGTTAATTTGGGAACCAACAGAAGCAGAGGGAGAAAGGCTTCAGATTTTAGTCCTCTCCACATCCTCCCAAGGGAACAAAGCCAGCCAGCTTCCCATATTCTGTCTTCAAAAACAAAAGTCTCACTACTCCATCCTCCCAGCATTGTTTCTGGAAGCACAGTTGACATTAAATGAGTGTCTAGAGACCCAAGTTACTTTTTCATATACTCAACAAATATCGGGGGGGGGGGGGGACGGTGGCATTTGTATCCGAAACTTCCAGAGGCTCATTTCCGTATTTCCTTCAAAAAGCTGTTCCCCAAGAATAAAGTAGGAGATCAATTTCCAGCCTTAGGAGTCCAGGAGCCCCAAGGAAATCCACAGGGAAGTGGCAATGACCTGGCCTCTGAGAAGAGCCCTTGCAGTGACAATCTTAGGACGGAAATATGGAAAGCAAAGGGGAGGTGAGAAGGGAATTTTCACTAAGACTCTGAGGTGCTGGAACCAGGCCCTAGGACACAAGTTGGCCTTGACCCATGGAAGTTGGAAGAACTTTGCCTCACAGGAGACAACAAAAGCAGGGCTGATGTTTTTGTAAGCTAATAAACTAAACTTCCTGGGGGTGAGCTCACATTCGCTTTAACTCATGCCAGCCAAGCAAAGAAGCCAAAGTCTACCACCAGCCAGGGATTACAGTTAGGGGGAAAGAAGAGCTTGTGCAGGAGCTACAAATTGTGCCAGCCTCCCTGAAGAACCAAGAACCCACGAATTTTGTAGCAAGGATGACTCAAAAAGCTACGTATTTCTCTAAGCTCCAACAACAACAAAATCTTCGAATTC